TTAGATCTGTCAGACGTGCAGTTTCCTGAAATCTCAAAAGGTATATTTTCGATCTTTAGTATTTATGTTATATAGCATCATGAACATGTTCTTGTTTGGCTTTGACGTTGATTAAAATTTTTAAATTCCGCTGCGCACTCGATGCCATTAATTTTCCAACAGTAATTTCATTTGTTGAGTAAAGTGAGAGTCATAGGCCCCACACTGTACAAAAAAAAAGGATTATTATTACTGATGCCCCCTGAACTTTTGGGTCATTCTCAGTTTGCTTCCTGAACTTTAAAAGCCACATGAACTTTGAATTGTTTTCACTTAACCCCTTCTGTTGCAATTTTGATAGAAAAAAGAAGAGAATAACATAATCACACCACATGACCACACTTAACCCCTCTTCTTTTTTCATCCGATTTTAACAAAAGTTACAACAAAATGGGTTAATTGAGAACAATTCAAAATTCAAGAGGTAAAGTGAGAGTTTTTAAAGTTTATATACCAAACTAGAAATGACCCTAAAATTTATGGACACTAGTGAGAATAATCTTAAAAAAAAGTGTTTGTGGGCAAAATATCAAAGGAGGTCCTTTGCTCTTTTTCTAAAGATAAGGCATCTCTATCTCGATGGGAAGGAGGAAAACGACACAGTGTTAACTCGATCCGAGTGCTACAGTGTGTGTATGTGTTTTCTTTTTTATTAGAATAATAACCCGCACGTATTTTAATTCGTATTTTTTCCCTTCATAATTTTGATCAAAATTTTTCCTTTTCGCTACCAAAAAAAATCGTTCCTTTTCTATCATAATTTTTAATTTTTAGTTTTTTTTTACGAGTTGGTTAAATAATAATTATTTTTTTACATTGATATGATAGTCATATATATGTACATAATTAGTGAATTAGATTAATTGTTAAGAATAGTAAAAGAGAATATAAAAAAATGTACAAAGAATATTTTTTAAAGTAAAATTTTGAAGTAACAGATTACAGATAAACTTTTTGGGTGATGTGAGATTACTCCATTTTGAAGATAAAACCATTTTAAAAGGGAGACTAAGAGAAATAATATTTTTAAGTGAGGTCTAGAAAATAATAACAAAAACTTAATTATTATTTAGTAAATAACATAATTATAGTATATCAACATTTATTATGCCGCACAATTCTAGATTTACTCTCGCTTCTCCTTTCTTTATATTTATAGCTCTCTCTATATTCTCACCATTTGTTTGTCTCTTCTACCGATGGCAGCGAAGTTCGACGGAGAACTGCAATATTGCAATGATGGATATCATCGCCTTGATTTCAACGGGAGGTCAACGGAG